GTGTGTGTGTGTGTGTGTGTGTGTATATATATATATCTCTCTCTCTCTCTCTCTCTGTGTTTGTGTGTGTGTATGTATATATATATATATATGTATATGTATATATGTATATATATACATATATATATATATATATGTATATATATTTATATATGTATATGTATATCAATTGTCGTTTGATATTGAACTCACCCAATTGATCTCTTCAATACAGACGTCGAGGCAGATGAGAAGAAATCGTACGAGTTCCTTCGTTCAGAGCTGCCCATCCGCTACGCGCACATGCTCAAAGAAATCGACAACTTGCCCGATGTGCTGTTAAAGAGTAGACAAGTACAGGATGTGCGTCGTCTGTATTTTTTTTCTTTCAAGGACATCATCGATTGCCCGTCAATTTACACACTGTCGGACGACCCTGCTCTGTGCACAAGGGCGTTTCTGGTATGTTGTTGTGTATGCACGGGTGTATGGGTGATGGTAACTTCTGCTTACTGATCTGCGTTGCTTCACACTTGTTTGCGTATTTCAAAAACTCTGTGTCGAACATAGTGTAGACTATCACGCACCTGTGCAGCATTAATATCAGAGTGAGTCTGTCTGTTATTGCACATGCAATCAGCGGTGGTATTTGGCAATTTTATTACGCACATATACTTATCTACATTTGAAATGGTCTACTTGTATTTGGCTACGTGCTTCCTATCGTTTATCAACAGAATGGGATAGCTCATACACTGATATCACAGTCCCGGCGAACTTCATGTGGCTAACTCATCCTGTTTCGATGCTCTCCATTGTGGACTTTGCACCATTCCAACTCCTTTCGCCATCACTATGACATAAGCAGAATTTCATAATGGTGATGAAGACCTGCCTGCAGAGACACGCACCCGTTGTGCCCAAAATAGCCGAGGGAGTGATGATGTTGAAGAAAAGGGGTTCAGGCCACGAGTCTTTCGATCGCATGCTCAAGCCAGTACAGTATTTCTTAGACCGCATATACATGAGCCGAGTAGGAATGGTATGCATGTTACTTCCATACCATACGTTCGGGCTGTGCTTGTTTATGAAATGTCGAGTGCAAATGTAGTCTGTTTCACCTCGTGGACTGCATATAGCAACCGCCGCCGCATAGTACCACATTAGACTGATCTAATCAGGTTGTAAGGTGTAACATCGATTTATAGTTTAGAATATATACTGGACTTACTTTCAAGGTACAGTTCTACACGAGGCAGTATATTTTGAGTGCTGGGACATTCACAAAATATAATACGAGACTTGACATGAATTGCGATCGACTAGGTGACTATGAATGTGTATCGTTCTGTCTGTTACATGTTCACGCATTGGTAGTATTATAGACTGCACGCATTTATAACAACGACATCCACGGTGGAGATACCTCTGCCGGATGCGGATGCGCTAGTGCCGAAACTTGTTTCTGTCATAAGTCTTTGCTAGAATAGAACAACTTATCCGCAAAATTCGTTTTTTGTGTTAAAGCTCAAGTGGACACGCGCACAGATTGGGTTTGTGGGACAAATCCAAACTTATTCGAATCGTTCATCGATGGCTGTATTCGTGTGTAATGCGGCATACCACCTACTTGTAGATGCTACTGTCGGGTGCGCACATATAGAACCTTAGAGTTTTGCACGTCTACTGAATAAAGCTTTCTCTAGTGTATATAACAAGTCCAATATAAACGGGCATCAGTCGGTATGGACACCGCTGGAATAGAGCCTTTATCAAAACTCCTCTGCGTAGAGTACCTACCTCTCGCACTAAATGCAACACGACCAATCTACTTTCGCAGATGATCCTCTCGGGTGCGCATGTACGGAACTTCGATTCGTCTCACGCGTCTACCAATGAGAACTACTCGAGTATAGACGTCAAGTGCAATATTGTCAATGTCATCAAGGAAGCGGCGGACAACGCAAAGTTCCTGTAAGCTTGTGTGTTGTGTGATTGCGTCACGATTCTTATCACATGCTTGTAACTCTCGCGGACTATGTACGCCTTCATATTGAACTCGTATTCTATTCACTCGCAGGCTAGTGTTTACTTGTCCTGGTTCCTACTTTGGCTCATAACCCCTCTGATTTTTTGTTTTTGTTTTTTAGCTGTGAACAGTACTACGAGACTTCGCCAGATGTCAACATAATAACGGGATCGCCTGATTTTCAATTTCCATATATTCCGTCGCATCTGTACCACATCATGTTCGAATTGCTGAAGGTAAATCGGATCCCCGCCATCGATGTCGGTGTTGGCACTATGTACGCGTTTACTATGTACATTTGACTTCATTTTGAATTAAGTGCAGACTGCTTTGGCTTAGTTAGTTGGCCCCCGTTGCGTAGTGTATATGCACTCGTGCTCAATACTCCAATTAATTCAGATTGGCAAATGGTGATTGGGTGTAATGGTGGCATCGGCGTATTGTGTGTGTCCGTGCGCGATGAGCGTTCATATGTTGCTATGTATCTAATTCCATCAATTTCGATCCGCGTAAGATCAAATGGCGGTAGATGTAATTTTAGCGTCATGTGAGCTTTGATGTGACGAAATAACTTGTACTAGGCCCCGCATGTATATCTTGGATCTTCAATGTGCCTCATCTTGGAGCTTGTAGTTTTGTGTATTGGCGGACACTTTTTCGACAGGATATCAGTGTCTCACGTGAATGCTGGGAATCATAGATGCAGCCTACACGGACGGCTCTAAGCAGTGGGGAAAGACAGAAATTCATTTTGTAGTGTGTTCCCTTTTAGTCGAATACAATACCCAATCATGTGTGTGGAGCTAAGATATATATATTCGAGGTCGTATACCTCTCGAACAGCCTGTGTCTCTAGTTTAAACTGTGAACTTTTGTAATCTCAAAATACCCCGCCCCGAATAGTTGTCAAATTGAACCGTACTATAGTCCAATCTCAATCTGCATCGGTGCCTGGCCCCCAGTGCGAAACACTAATATAGACTGACATCGGACACTAACTTATACAGAAAGGAACGGCTGCTTTCTACACCGCGTAGTTGCACGCTCTATGTTTGCTCCAAAAGTACTCACGCTTTATGAATGCCTGTCATTCAACTCACAGAATAGTATGAGAGCAGTCGTGGAGCAGCATCAAGGCGGCCCACTTCCCGCTATCAAGGTTATATTGACTCACGGCACAGAAGATCTCACCATAAAGGTAAGTGAAGCGCACGTGTGGGTTGAGTTGTCTCTATTTCCACGCATTTGGCATGATGTGTAAATTCTGACCCACATGCTTTGATGCTTGCCGCAGTAGCGCTACAGAATTAAGCAGCACTCATGGCATACTTTCACTATCAGCGTTTGTTACCTTAAAATTCTCTCGAAATCACGTTTGCAATTCCTGACCTAAGTCTTTGTGAGATATGTGCATCAAACCTCGATCACTTTACATTTCTCGGGTTTTTATTTTGGGGTATGACCAATCACGATTGTATGTAAATACTTTGCACATTCTCATTTTTTTCAGTTCAATCTTTTGTTAAACTGGTGTAAGCGCTCTTGTGATCGTATACAAGTACTCGCAATCACAACTTACCCCATCTCGCGTCCGTTTCGTATAGCTATCCGATGAGGGCGGTGGTATATCCCGCAGCGATATTGGACAGATCTTCACATACCTATACACCACAGCTGAGGCTCCGATGGAGGAAGAAGACTTGACCAGCCAAGACATGAAAAATGCTCCCCTGGCTGGATTTGGCTATGGTCTGCCCATAAGTCGTCTGTATGCACGATACATGGGTGGTGAGCTCAAGATTGTTTCCATGGAGGGTATGTTTACATATAACGTATGTACATGTTTTCTCATGGAACGACTTATTCATCCCTTATTGATGGTGCGTGATCGATTTGCTATCGCTGTAATCTCTGACAGCCAAATATTTCAATTCGCGTTCGCGTGTGATATCAATTCAATATGGATTAAATTGCATAAATATGTGTCAACAACTCCAAACAGGATAATGTCGCTAGCTTACGATTGAGTACGAGAACTGGTTCGATCCTTCCATTTCAAACTTTCTAATTAAATTCCCCACAAGCCGGAACGCTATTTCTACATATGCGTACGCTATGCTATATAGATAGTTATACTTCGAGATAGACGCACCGTTCAAAATCGCATACTCTTCTACAAATACTATATATTAATTACACATGTATATACGGATAATTCACAGGATATGGCACAGACGCCTTTGTGTACTTGCTTGCGTCAGCGGACAAGGCCGAAGAAGTCTTACCAGAGTTCACACGCAGAGAAATGAAACAGTACACAATCACGGGGTCTATGAGTGACTGGTTGCTGCCTCCTGAAAAACTGGTAGATAAGAAAGGGGCGGACTGATCAGTTGGCTGTTATTAGATCGGTGGACCGAGTGGCGAGCAAATTTTATATCGGCGAACTGGCAGGCGGGCTATTTGTAGATCGGCGTTATTACGTCCCGTAAATTTCGATAACGCGTGATTCTCCACGATCAATAAGGACGGCTCGTGAGATATATGTATATGTATGTATGTATGTATGTATGTATGTATATATATATATATATATATATATATATATATATATATATATATATATATATATATTTATATTTATATAAATATGTATATATATT